CAGCAAGTAGAAAAACAAACAAAGCTCATTTAACGCCTTTTGAACTCATTTCCAGTTCCCATGTATGAAGCAGACCAACAACGACGGGGTGACAACAGCATGATGTGTTTATCTGGCGAGTGAAGGAAGCTCCAGAACTCTTCCTGCTGTTTGGGTTTTGTGTTCGTTGATCTGTGATGAGCTCCGGAGCTGTAATCGTTTAGCAGTTGGCTGTAAACACAGATATTCAGGATGTCACATGCTTTACAGCATTCATGTCCATAATAATCCTGTAGCTGTTTGTGCTCAGATGTGGTCTGACCAGTCCAGCCAGAAGTGTAGAACTTGTGAACCGTAGAAGCTGACCCTGTCCCTGGTCAGCGGACACACAAACACCAGTTTTGGTTGTGTTCTAGGTTTTGTCGGCGCCCTGGCAGTTCACCTTCAGACACGATACAGCAGTCCGCCTCAGACCTGAGAACATTTACTGGACTGTTTCTGAGAACGTGAGCACATGGTTTAAATTCATGTGTAGAGTCCGACAGTCCTTCTCTCTGCCACCTAGCTTTCTTTTTTAATCGGGGAGCTGCAGGCATAGTGTTTGCATCTGGGAGATGTTCTGGTGGCGTGAGGCTTTGTCTCTAGACCATGATTTATCTACAGAATGGTTTATCAGTACCAACGTATCGCACCAGACTCAGAGTTATGGCTGCTTTAGCAGTGTGGACCCTTTTGGCACTGTTTGCCTGTGACACGGGAGCAGGTGCAGCGTGGCATCATAAACCTGGAGAAAGCTTCACAGTGTGTTCCCAGTGGGGAGGAACCCAGGTTCCCCTGCATCTTGATTCACAGTGAGGGGCTGCCACGCAGACATGCTGACAGAACGGACATGTGTGACCCTAACATATAGCTAATAATTAATTAGTCCAATTAGTCATGGATCTGCTCCATGAGTAGTTTTTCTTTCTGTCTGTCCATCACTTGCATGATCCACATAATGACAGTAAACAGACCACGAAGCACAACAAGGCAGCACCACATTAGAGTTCTGCTGGTTTTCAGTGACCAGATGAAGATCTGAACGTGTTGCTTCTAAAGCCCTAGAAATGAGAGGATGAAGGGAGGAGCCGCTCAGCTGACACAAGACAACGTGTGAAAGGACGACTCGTGTCCCGCAGCCTGTTTTCATTAATCCACTTTTAATCATGAAAAAACAGTGACAAAGAACAGATCTTTAACAAAAGTATAGCAGTGCTTGTAAATCCTTTTCCCATCAGCGTCGTCATTTCATTCATCGTGCAAAAAACAAATAAATACAGAGATTTTCTTTAAAAACACATCAGGGACGTAGTTCTCCTTCCACTCTGCAGCAGAGCCACAGCAAAGACACGACGGTCATGATCCTGTTTGTTCCTGGTTCAGATGCTCTGGCTCCAGACACATTTATTAGCATTAGCATAGCATAGACAAAATAAATAATGTTACACTGAGATGTTATCCTCAACATGAGCTCTAGCCAGAAGTGCTAGAGGTTACAAAAGTACAATTTGGCAAGAAGTAATCAACGCTGAAAACACAGACGGGTGAGAAAGTGAAGGAGAAAACCTCCATATCATGTCTCAGTCAGGTGCTGGTCCACAAGATGCTCTTTGGCTCTGATTGTACTACGATGGAACGCCATTCTCACAACAGTTTGTTTTTTGCAGTGACCCTTCCCTTTAAGAGGCCAAGCGGACTCAAAATACGCCAGAAAAACACCCACTAATCCTGAACAGAGCCACCGGGTCCCGTCAGCGTAGGAGTTAGGGTCCAGATTTTTCCTCTAATCTGTCACCCGTCTGTGTGGTTTCATCTGCACCTTGAAAGCTCACAAGGGTGAACATCCACCCCACCGTGTGGAATTTCTGCTGTACCCAAATAAAATAAGCTCACAACAGCAGAACTGTGAGGTCCAAATGCACACACAAGACTTTGTTTTAAAGCTGTCATTGTCTAGTTTCTGAAAATGTGCAACCAAAACAGCACCATCTCAAACATGGCTCAAAAAACCTAAAAAACCTCACTAAGCCTGGCTTCAATGGACAGCCAGCAACCTGTTGGATCGTAGAGGTTAAGACACTTCAACAGCTCCTTCTCCTCTGTGTGTATTGGCACCGTTTAAACGCTGAGGACGTTGTTCTTTGCTCTGCCTGTCACAAACGAATCTTAAGAATATTTTTGAAGACCCGTTTGAAGTTTCCGTTGCAGAGTGGGTATATGAAAGGGTTGAGAGTGGAGTTCACGTACCCGAGCCAGATGGTGAACATGTGGAGGTCATGGTGCACACACTCTCTGCAGAAGGCCATGACCATGAAAGCGATAAAGTAAGGTATCCAACACAACAAGAACACAGCGATGATGAAGCCCAACTGCTTGGCAGCTTTGTGCTCCTTACGGATCCTCAGACTTCGGATACGCTGGCGCGACTGGTCAATAAACCTTTGCCACGCCTGTCTCAGAGTCACTGCGTTATCTGGATCTAAGGTGGCGTTTTCTCCGCCTTCCTCGGGCCACGGCGGAGGCTGGCTGGGGTCATAGTTGTTGTACAGCACAGACGTGTATCTCTGCACGTCTGTTACCTGACTGATGTCACAGACTCTGCTCACAGAGTTCGGCACTGTGACGTGACATTCATTTAAGGATGCCTGGAGTTTGCTGTCATTGTTGGGCCCTGAGCAGACGGCGTCCGGCGGCCCGGACGCTTGACTCAGGGGGATGTCAGCATCTGTCTGCTTCTCAGGAGACAAGGAGCAGCTTTTAGCCTTTCGTGCCCTCCTCAGTCGTTTTGTTGTCATCGTAAGTAATGACGTCTGTTGGCATTTAACACCAATTTTTCTGTGAGCTCTCGAGGGAGCGGTTTTGGTTTTCTCAGCTTCCTCAAGGGAATACGTCTGATCGAGCGTGTTCTGGTCCAGCAGTCGATGTTTTTTAGATAGTTTCACTGGAGCCTCGCTTTCCCTCTTGTGTGATTTGGAGTCATTTTTCTCAGGGCTTTGAGCATTTCGACCGTTCTCATTTTCTGCAAATGAATCGGTGGGATGAATGATTCGCTCTCTGTCCCTGAGATGTTGCCTCACTGCCAAGTAGATGTGTGTGTAGAACCACAGCATCAAGACCAAGGGCACGTAGAAGTTGAAAACTGCAGTGATGACCTTAAACCACGTGACAAAACGAAAGTCTGTGTCACACTTGTTCTCCTCCTCAGGCTTAAGGTCCACGTGGGTGAAAGACCTCCACCCCAAAATAGGAATAATCCACATCATCGACAGCAGCCAGGCTCCACAGATCATCACGCTAGCTTTTCCCCGCGTTCGATATTTCAGGTATTTCAGCGGCTGTCTGACTGAGCGGTACCTGTCCAAACACAGGATAAACAAGCTAAAAATGGAGGCTGTGCTTGCCACGTAGTCCATTATCAGCCAGAACTGGCAGACGGCCCGTCCAAGCTTCCACTCGTCCTCCAACAAATACACAAGGTTCAAAGGCATAACTGTGGAGCCTACGATCAGATCGGCCACCGACAGGCTGACGATGTAGAGGTTGCCCACAGTGTGGAGGCTCTTCTCTTTCTTCACAGCGTAAAGTACGAGCAGGTTCATGATGACGGTGAGCAGTGACAGGAGTCCCAGGAAGACCCCCAGCAGGGCGTTGTGGATGTGGTCATTCAGGGTCAGGGTGTGATTGCTCCTCAGCCAGTCTCCACCAGGAAGGCTGCTCCAGCTGCTGTTGCTGTGGTTGACGAAGCTGCTGCTGTTGATGTGTGGAGGCTCTGCGGATGGCGGCAGACCAGATTCCATCATGGTCAGTGAGATGGACGCTGCTAGATCTTCTCACATTATGCACAGCTGTCGGTCAGCAGATCGTGACATGTGCAGGTTTTAATCAGCCTGTTTCCCAACGTTACTCAGTGTGAGGTGTGATGCAAGTGGGCCTTTACATTAAAGACAGTATTCCTTCCTGGCGGTAGTCACTGCGTCCTTGGGCTGTTGACCATTCTGTCCTAAATCCAAACTGGTAACATCTGAAAAACACAAACAGCACGACAGGTGATGCCTCTGTGTGGTACATGCAGGTTTCTCACCACTTTGTTCATGGAACACCACATCATACCCTAACTGTTATCCAAAGAAGAGAGCTGAACATGTCTGTAGACAATCTTTAAGAACACAGATGGAACGGAGATCAACTAAAAGGAAAAGAGCAGATGCAGTCAGAGCACAAGTGCCACTATGAAGAAATGAATCAATAGAAAATGCAGCTCAGCATTTCCTATGATCTCTTTACCTTCCTGCTTTGGACACAGTCTGAACTCTCCCTCCCTCCTTCTCTTTCTTTCACTGTCCAGCTGGCTTTCTTTAACACTTACACAAGGGGAGGGCTGCAACTCCCGTCACCGCCACAGCAGCACACAAACTGTGTCGCCGGCACAAAGGACACGAATATTCTGCTGGAATCTGTGTTTGGTTTATAAGAAGCCAACACGCCATGTCTGATAAGAGGTTTCAGTGTGAGCAGCGCAGCGAGATGTGTCCTATTAAACATGTCCGTGTGCTGTTGGAGAGGCTCTCATCTGAACTGTTGGATCGATTTTTAAGAGAGTAGTCGGAAACACACCGGTTGCCATGGATGCAGGTGGCATTTCTATACATAGCTGGTCCTCCTGTGATCAAACTACATTGAAACTGATCATTTGGCCATTATAGACGGTGCTGCGGTGCTAATTAATACGCAGGCTTTTCTAACAGGACCGTCATCGTGTGGTTCTCCTGTTGGTGTTGTTTGCCAGTAACAACATGAAAATGCACCCATACAGGTCCATACAGATCCATGCAGGTCCATACAGGTCCATACAGATCCATGCAGGTCCATACAGGTCCATACAGATCCATGCAGGTCCATATAGGTCCATACAGGTAGTGGAGCTGAGGCCATTCCTCTGAACACTGATGCTCTGTTTGTTCATGCCTGCTGCTTATGAAGAGCCCACACTAGATTCTGTACTTGAGTCTGTCTGTTGTGTGTATCTGTGTCTGCTTACTCACCGATGACACATGCAGGATGAGAAAAGGAAAAATAACACCAGCTCATGTGTAGCGCTTGGTGGGTAAAGCGCGCAGCAGTGGGCGCTGAGAGCTTCACTGACTCACTGCTTTAGGATCAATACACAACGCCTGAAGCAACAAAGATTTCTTTCTGTCTTTAGGATTTCTTTTGGGGACATTTCTGTGCCTGTATTTGACAGAGACACTAAGCATGGTCAGAGAGTGGCGGTGACACGGAAGCAGCGCTGTGCCGGAGCGCGCTGCGCGCTGCTCAGGACGTCTGCGTCCATGTGGGGTTCAGCCCAAACACTGGGCTGTCTGGTCGCCCTCGCGTTTACAGCCTGGATGTGACACATAGACTACAGCCACTGGAAGCAGATAATGAAGTGTGGCGCTGCTCTGTGCCTGCATTTATCAGAAACCTTCAGGGCGCAGCAGCTGCAGCAGAAGCCGCATTAAGGAGTTTCTTATGCCACATTTGACGCCCAAAATCTACCTTTGTACAGGTCAAATGCAAACTAAACCCCCTGTATCCATGCTGACCTTTACATTTGAAAAGCTCTACTTGCAGCTCCACAGTTTTTACAGTTTCATGACTTCATAAACTGTTTGAGGTAAATGAGGCTCGCTGTTTACAGCCACTGCCTCCGCAGCACAAATATTTAGGGACACTTATTAGTCACAGAATAACAGAACGAGGAGCAGAAATAAAGCTGCTGCGTGTTTTCTGAGCAGCACACTTGTTATCAGACAGAAAGAGGACATCTCTCCAAGTGTAATCTGCACAGCATGAAGATGTGCAGTGATCGCTGCCTGTCTGCTTTCATGACCACAGCGCGGGACTGGAGCTGAATCCTGCGACCTGATGAATCCTGTCTATCCAAATGAATAATGGCTCTCCTGTGAAATACTACAAGTCGGTGCTGAGAGAACCACCTGTTGATCACACATCAGACTTTCAGGCTTTTGGCACAAACACGCGTTTATCCAACAGCAGAGTCGAACAGTGGCGTGGATCGGTGAGGCGCCATGAAACAGCTGAGAATGTGAGCAAAAGTGACTACCTGTTGCTTGTAAGTGCCAGTGAAAGTAGTTTCAGACTTACCAGTGATGTGCGCGGATTTCCCCAAAACAAGTCCTCCTCTTGCAGCCAGCAGCTGTGGAGCGGCTCCTCTCCGCCTCCTCAGCCCACTCTGTCCGTCTCTGTCCGTCTCTGGACTGAACTTTGGAGCTCACGTGAATTACAGCAGGCATAAAAACCAACTTGTTATTGGAATCTGGCTTCACCTGATATGATATTGCGCGTTATGATTTGCCGTGCCATGAATCAGCGCATGCGTCACTGCGCAGCTACGCGCACTGAGCAACTTCCTATCACGAAATCTGGACATTACTGTAAGGACCAAAAGCGATTAGGCTGCTGGAGGTTTCTACAGATGTGCAAAACGTCTGCATGAACTGTCTAAATGTTTCATCCACTGTGGAGAGACGGCGGTGAAACCTGAACGTCCTCCAATCACAACACAGGAGCTAAAATGACGAAATCCTGCTTGTTTTTTTTGTTTTGTTTTGTTATTGCGCCAAGGAGGGCAATTGTCTTCCTGCTGTTGTTCTGAAGCAGAGTTCAGGACACTTGCTGCTTGCTCTGAACTCCGGCAGCTTTCCCTGAGCCTCAGAACATCCGGTAAACACGCATGTTGTTGCAGCATGAAGTGAGGTTGTGTGGCTGACCTGGTTTCTGGATTCCTCTGAATATTTTTCACGTGATTCCTCACCTGTGAAGCCAGCCCCTCTAGTTATAGACTCACCAGCTGTCTTCTAGCAGCCTGTCCACCCACGCCACTGCAGCGTGTGGGCTGTACACAGAACACGGGATGACCTGTTTGACTGACTCACATCTCGGACTTATCATTTGTTTGGGTGTTTTTAAAGATGAAACGTACAGTTTTCCAGCTGAGGTGTAAATCAGATCAGTTTCTCTGGGAAGAATCATTAAACTCGTATAGAATCCAGGTACTGGCTCTACGTTTAAACGTCTGCCCATCCACACACCTTGTTTGTCCTGTGGAGGGCTGCAGGTGTGCTGGAGCGCATCCCAGCCGCCGGCGGGCGAGGGGCGGGGGGCATCCTGCACAAGTGGCCAGTCCATCACAGGCCTAACACACTGGTCTGGACTGGCCAGTCAGCTTGCCATGCATGCCTGTGGACTGTGGGACGAATCCAGAGCACCACATGAAACCAAGCAGGCACAGAACAAAACATGCAAACTGAAAGACGCTCCTCAACCCAGGACCTCGGAGCTGTGAGGCAACAGTGCTAACCGCTGCAGCACTGTGCCGCCCTGCCTTTAAACACTGATTTGTAAATAGTTTGAATTTAAATTACAAGCAGCTGGAAGCCACAGCATCTACAGCCCCACACAGCAGCTCTGAATACATTTAAAATCTATTCTGGCTCCTAAAACAACACAAACACACTCGTTTGCCAAAAGCAAATATGTCTCCACTACTCTCAGCTTGGTACTGAGCAGATGATGAAACAGTCGCTGTAGAAACAAATGCCCTGTAGGGACCTATTAGGACGTTTGTCTCAACTGATATGACATTGGCCAACGGTGTGTTTTCTGTTGGAGCAGTCTGAAGCGCCAGAGGCAGCTCCACGCTACAGAACATATCAAACATGTGGAATAACGTTCAGCTCGTCACACAGCAGTGGGTGACGAGGCGTCGACTGTCCCTGCTAAAATCTGAGACTTTTTCTGGGATTTACCTTGGACTCCTCTGGGCTTTGGCCTGCTACAGCTCGGACAGCGTGACCTGAAGGCAGCACAATGCCATGAATGCATCACGGTGACCTGAATGCAGC